CACTCTCCCGCACTGGGAGCGGTGGAGACAGCCAGCAGCACAGGTGCGGGGTGTGGGCTGGGAGAACGCTCCCCTGTGAACTCACAAGGACACACTAGGTCCTTCGGATACGAGAGGCCCTGTCATATGGAGAGTATGTGGTTCGGTGGCCAGGCCTTGGAGCCAGTGGCCTGACTTGCTGTCCCAGCTCTACCACTTCCTGGCTTTGTGACCTGAGGCAAGGCTGGTATTTCTCTCTGCTTCCATAAGATGGGATAATAATGGCACCCGCGTCACAGGGTAGTGAGGGTTTGATGCACAAATAGGTGCAGTCTGCAGAAGCTCACCTGGCACGCAGTGGGCACCCAGCAAACACTAGTCATTTTACTCTGTGGACAAAGCCCCTTGTTAAGTAGATAACAGAAAAAGTGAATCACGTATATACCTGAGGACAGAAACACCATTTTGCAAGTGAGGAATAAGGCTTAAGAAGAAAAGAACCAGGCTGGGCATGGTGGCTCACGCCTGCAATCCCAACAGTGTGGGAGGCTGAGGTGGGAGGATTGCTTGAGCCCAGGAATTGGAGACGGGCCTGGGCAACACAGTGAGACCCCATAAAAAATAGAAAAAATAGAAAAAAAGTCGATAAAAAATAGAAAAAAAGTAGCTGGGCAAGGTGGTGTGTGCCTGTTGTCTCAGCCACTCCCAAGGCTGAGTGAAGAGGATTGCCTAAGCTCAGATTGTCCAGGCTGCAGTGAGCTGGGATTGCACCACTGCATGCCAGCCTGGGCGATGAACAAGACTCTGTGCCCCCACCCCTCAAAAAAGAAAAAAGAAAAGAGGAGAGGAGAGGAGGGGAGAGGACGGGAGAGGGGAGAGAGAAGGGGAGTGAAGAGGGGAGGGGAGAGGAGGGGAGGGGAGGGGAGGGGAGGGGAGGGGATGGGAGGGGAAGAGAGGGAAGGGGAGGGGAGGGGAGAGGAGGGAAGGAGAGGGAAGGAGAGAGGTGGGGAGAGGAGGGAAGGAGAGGGAAGGGGAGGGGAGAGGAGGAGAGAGGATGGGAGAGGGGAGAGAGAAGGGCAGTGAAGAGGGGAGAGGAGAGGAGGGGAGAGGAGGGAAAGAGAGGGAAGAGGAGGGAAGGGGAGGGGAAGGGAGGGGAGAGGAGGGGAGGGGAGGGGAGGGGAGGGGAAGGGAAGGAAGGGGAGAGGAGGGGAGGGGAGGGGAGACGAACCATAGCAACAATATGCCTAATAGTCAAAAGGCAGAAGCAATTGGTGTCCATTGACGGGTGAATGTATAAACAAAACTCGGTCTGTCCTGAAATGGAATATTATTCAGCTTTGAAAAGGAAGGAAAGTCTGGCACATGCTGCAACATGGATGATCTCTGAGGACATTGTGCTAAGTGACACAAGTCCGTCACAAAAGGACAAAGACTGCGTGATTCCGCTTATACAAGGTCCTTAGAGGAGTCAAATTCATAGAAACAGAAAGTAGAACAGTGGTTGCCAGGGACTGGGGGGAGGGCATAGGGAGTTAATGTTTGACAGGGACAGAGTTTCAGTTTTGCAAGATGAAAGCCCTGGAGATGGACGGCGGTGATGGCCCCACAACGACGTGACTGTCCTTGACACCGGACTGTACACTTAGAAATGGCTGAGATGGTAAATGTTATGTTATGTGTATTTCACCACAATTAACAATTTAAAAGAAATGAACCAACTTGGCCGGGCACAGTGGCACATGCCTGTAATCCCAGTACTTTGGGAGGCCGAGGTGGCTGGATCATTTCCGGTCATGAGTTTAAGAACAGCCTGTCAAACGTGGTGAATCCCCGTGTCTACAAAAAATACAAAAATTAGCCAGGTGTGGTGGGACGTGCTTGTGATTCCAGCTACTTGGGAGGCTGAGGCAGGAGAATTGCTTGAACCTGGGTAGCAGAGGTTGCAGTGAGCCAAGATCTGACTCTATTTCAAAAACAAAAAGAAAAGCAATGAACCAACGTGCCCAGGTCCCCCTCTGGGAGGTATGAGAAGCAGAATTTAGACCCAAGTTTGAGTGACTACCTGACATGAAACCGCTTGCCTTCTATCTATTGGATAGGTAAAGTTTAGCAGAAGAGAATGGCTTCAGAAAAGAAAATACTTTACCAAGGGAAGACAAAAGGAGACAGAAAAAGATGAGAGATCTGTAGGCATGAAGCCAGGAGAATGGGTGTCAGGCTGCTTCTGCTGTGTGACTTTGGCACGCCACTCACCCTCTCTGGGCTTTGGGTCTCCACTCTTCTATGAAGGTCAGGTTGGGAGGGCATCCAGGGCATTTCAGCTCTAAGGTCTAGGGTGGGGTGAGATGGGATGCCCAAGCATGTTGTGAGAGCTCCAGTAGGCATGAGTACTCACCCCACCCCAGGATCTCTGGAGAGCCCACAGTCGAACGGTAGGGATAAGTCACAGACAAACAGCAATTGGCGAATCTACCACGTACCAAGCTCTGTCCCAGCTAGGCTCCTGCTCTGGGGCTGCCATCCTGTTGCGGAGGAAAGGCGATAGACAAGCAAGCAAACAAATAGATCGCAAATAGAAAAACAAAGATGGGTAATGGGGTGCAGGTGCTCAGGGGTGGGACAACGAGAGCTCCTAGTGGAGGAGAAGGCTGCACCCTGGTTAGGGGCCCCCAGAAAGCACCCTGGAAGAGGTGGCATCTGGTTCCCCAAGGCTTTACTGAGCACAGGTGCTGGAGATAGAGAATTCATCATTGTGGGAAGACAGACAGGGCAGCAAACACCATCACCACCCAGGACTCGCCACCACAGGAGTCTGCGTAAGCTATGGGGCAGGAGAGATGGAGACAGCGCAGCATCTCATGGGAGATTTTCCTGTTGAAAAGAACATGAGTGGGGTTTTGGAGGATGAGTAGGTTTCTCAGAGCTGGGAAGTGTGCTCCAGGCTTGGGGAACAGCGAGTGTGAAGGCACGAGCCGTAGAGCTTGGTGCGCCAGGGCTCTGGAGCTGGCTGACAGGTGTCTATGCTAGCTGACTCGGGATGAAGTGGTTAGCCTCTCTGAAGGTCAGTTTCCCATTTTCTCAATGAAGGAGAGTAATAATGCCACCTGGTGAAAGGAGTTATTTTTTGTGAGTACTTTTGAGTGTTAAGTGGTGTAAGGACTCTTTCTTTTTCTGAGACGGAGTCTTGCTCTGTCGCCCAGGCTGGAGTTCAGTGGCATGATCTTGGCTTACTGCAACCTCCGCCTCCCAGGTTCAAGTGATTCTCCTGCCTCAGCCTCCTGAGTAGCTGGGATTACAGGCGCCCACCACCACAACCAGCTAATTTTTTTGTATTTTAGTAGAGACAGGTTTTCAGCGTGTTAGCCAGGATGGTCTCGACCTTCTGACCTCGTGATCTGCCCACCTGGGCCTCACAAAGTGCTGGGATTATAGGCATGAACCACCATGCCCAGACTGGTATAGGGACCCTTGTTCCTCCCCAGTTCTGCATTGCTGGAAACAGGGGTGGGACGTGAAGGGGAACGGGCTCCATCATGTTCTGGGGATGGCCCTCCGCTGTACATCGGCCACCCACCGCTCTTAGTAGAGAATCCCCCTCTGGGACCTCAGTACTCCACAGGCAGCCCACCAGTCCCAAACCTCCAACCATCTCAACCCAATCCATCAAAAGCGCCCCATCCTGAATGTCATATTTTAGGGGACTTTCCATTTGTGAATTTGGTGGCCAAGGATGAGTGAAATTCCTACCCAGGGCTAGGGACCTTGAAGGGCTGCTGTGTTACAGAGATCCCAAACCCTGTTGGTGGTGAAGCTGCCTCTCTCCAGGAGAGGTGAGGCAGGTACACATTCCTGACACCAGGGTCTCCCAGTGTGAGCTAAAGGGGCCTCAGTGATCTGCCAGCCCGTCCAACTTTTCCATGCGAGAAATGGAGGCTCTGAGAAGCAAACTGCCTGCCTTTCACCTGGTGTTTGCTCTAGGCAGGTTCCATGCCAGGAGCCTTCCCTGAGGGGTCTTCTCATAGTCACTTCTTTCTGGAAGACGCCACCTTCCTGCCATTGTCATCAGACCATGAAATAATTATGGCATGACAACATAAACATATATCCATTTTAATAGCTCTCATTTATATCCATTTCCCCTAGAAACACTGCAGCATCATCAGCTTTTCTAGCAATCCTGTATTTTAGGGATGACCCAAATGGGGCTGTAAATCTTCAGCTCTGTCTGATCTTTACTTATTCATTCAGTATACATGAATTTTGGGTGCCTGTGTGGGAGGCCCTTTTCTAGGGACTGAGGCAGCAGTGAACAAGCAGACACAGCCCTGCCTGTCCTCCTCGAACTTACAGTTAGAAGGGGGAGAAACGCCAGAGGAAAATAAATATACAACCAAGCGCGCGATGATCAGTGCTAAGAAGAAAAAAATCAGGCGGGCATGGGGTGCATACCAGCAATTCCAGCGCTTTGGGAGGCCAAAGTGGAAGGACTGCTTGAACCAGGAGTTCAAGAGCACCCTGGGCAACAGAGTCTCCAAGACCACACTCCCGGCACCTCCAACCCCCCACCCTCTTCTCTAAAAGGATTTTTAAAAATTAGCTGGGTGTGGTGGCACACTTCGAGTCCCAGCTATTCTGGAGGCTGAGGCAAGAAGATTACTTGAACCCAGGAATATAAGGCTATGATTGTGAGCTATGATTGTACCACTGCACTCCAACCTGGGCAACAGAGTGAGACCCTGCCAAAGAAAAAGAGAGAGAGAGAGAGAGAGACACTAAGGAAAAAAAGCATGAAGGAAGGAAAAAAGGAAAAGAGGGGGGAGGGGGAGGAAGGGGAAGGGAGGGAAGGGGGAGGGGGAGGAAGGGGAATAGAGGGGGAAGGGAGGGGGGAGGGAGGGAGGGAGGAAGGAGGGAGGGAGGGAAAGGGAGGGAAGAAAAGGGACAGAGAGAGGGAGGGAGGAGGAGGGAGAAATGGGAAGGGAGGGAGGGAAAAAGGAAGGAAAAAAAAGGTGACACAGAGAGGGTGGGTGTTGTGCTATTTTACTACCACAGAAGATTTTTAAGTATTGTCAGTTGAATGTTGGCCGCCAAAACATACGTCCATATATTAATTTTAAAAATCACTCCCAGCTGGGTACAGTGGCTCACACCTATAAATAAATCATCATTCCCAACTCCTTCACATGCTAATTGTCCAGATGCAGGGTCCTTCTGGGCAATGCAGAGGAAGCCTCGTGAATGGGTTGTGTGGTTATAGTGATGACAGTAAGTCAGAGGCCGGGAGCGAGGTCCGGTCCGGGTCTGGCCTTCAGGCTCAGTGGAGGGAAGCGTTCCTTGCTTGGGTGAATCCCACAAGGGATGGGGATTCACCAAACACAGGAAGGGGCTTCATCCATGGGCAGATGGATCGACAAATGAGCGTTCACTGCTGGAGGGTGCTCCCGTTGTGTGTGTTTTAGAGACACTGGAGCCAGCTCGGAGACAGGAAGTAACTTGTTCAAGGCTTCGCCGTGCCACGTGGCTCTGCTGGACTCACACTTCAGTCTGTCTGAGCTTAGAGTCTGACTGCAAGGCCGTTTCTGAAACCAATTCACCAGGTCAGTGCAGGACTCTACCTCAGGCAGCCAGGGAGAGGGTGGTGTTGGGAAACAGGGCAATGAGGGAAAGGGCACCTGTGCTGGAAGGCAGTGAGTCAGCCATGAACATGTTGGGGGAGGTGGGGGTGCTGGGGCGGGTCCCATCAGCAAGGTAGACAAGCCCAGGAGGCAGTTCTGGCCTTGGAGAAAGGGCTGGGGAGAAAGATTAGGTGTCCTTCCATTTTCATACTACTTAATGGCTGCTGGAGTGGGAGAAACTGCCCTAGTAATATGCAGAGTGATAAGGAGAGATAGGAAGAAATGGGAAGGACAGAGGAAGAGGAGATCTGAGATGAGGCAGTCAGAGCTAAGTGGGGGGCTTCAAGGAGGGATGGTCACAGGTGCTGGTGTTTATTGAGTGTTAACTGTGTGCCAGGTACCCTCAGCGTGAGGCAGACACTGTTATTACTATGCCCACTTTACAGATGAGGAAACTGAGAGGCTAAGGAATTTACCCACGTCAGTGAGCCAAGACGTGGTAGATCCTGGGTTCCAGCCAGTGGCCCAGCCAGTGTGCTTAATCTCCATGCTACCCTACTTCTGGGATGGAAGGTTGCTGGTGACACTGTCGACTTCACCCATGGCTTGGGTGGAGGGAAAGAAGCGAGGAACAAGTTTGGTACAAGAACAACGACGAGGCTTGACATCTAATGGCATCGTAGTCTGCAGGAGACAACCACACCTGTGACCCGGTCTGCCCTGCAACGGGTGGGCGAGCAGTCATCTCTCTGTCCTCTAATGTACTAGGAAGCCGAAGCCCTCGGAAGGTCAGGGAATTGCTTGAGGTCACACCACGAGGCTGTGCCGGAGGCTTGAACTCAACTCTTTAGGCCTGGAATGGTGTTTACTACCCCTAAGAGGAATGGAGAGCCCATCTAGATGCGGGTGCTGGCCTGGGGTGATTCAGAGAGGCGGCCATGACGTGGGCCACCCTGACTGATAGCATCTGAGCTGTGATGCCCAGTTAGCATCCCAAGTGAGGGTCTTGGTCCCATGGGGAGGCAATGGGGAGCTTATCTGGTCATGGTTTTATCTTGGCCTCACTCATTTAAAAGTCATCTCATGATGGACGTTCATGATACTGTGGGGCCCAGGAGCAAGCACAGGGATGGAATGAAATCCTGGCACTGCCTCTTGGTAGCAGGTGGCCTGGGCGAGCCACCTAATGTCTCCAGAGAAGATTTGGCTTCTCTGACTGCAAACTGGGGATCGTCTCTCCCCTGCCTGGTACTGTGGGAGCTGAGAACAATGTGAGTAAAGCACTTGGTACGCACCTGGGGGTCAGAAAACAGGAGCTGGCATTGTTCGTGTCAGGTGACAGGTGAGGGTTTGTACATCTTCTATCAAAGTGTAGCTTCGTTGAAATTTTGTTTCTAAATCTCTCTCTCACACACACATGCACGCACGCACGCATGCACTCACAGAACAGAGGAGACTTCTGGAATCTTCCTGCCCAAGTACCTTGTGCGGATGGCAAAACTGAGGCCCAGAGACGGAAATTATATACCCAAGATCACAGAGTCAAAGGGGCCTGGTCCCTGCCTGCCGTCAGTCCGAGTATTGCATGACATCACAAAGCGTCATGCTGTTCACTAAGCATGCACTTTACACAATCACTGCCCCACATGGCAGCCACCCAGCCTCATCCCTGCTGTTCACTAAGCATGCACTTTACACAATCACTGCCCCACACGGCAGCCACCAGAATCCTTGCTGGCATCAAACATCCAAGTCAGAGGCACTCGGAGTCGTCAGCTTCCTCTGGCATTGTCTCACCTGGGTGTAGGGGTTAAAAAGCCATGGCAGGTGCTCCAGAGACTGGAGAAATAAACGATCTCAGACTTACACAGGAGACCACAATGGGTCCCTCCTGGAAAATGCTGAAGGGGGAGCCCACTACCTCCACGTCAACCCTCCTTAACACAGGGGTCCTCTGGCCTCATTTGCATTCCCTAGGGATCTTAGCCCACAAGAGGGAGAAAGCTACTGTTCTCCTGAGTTTAAGTTGGCTGATCTCTGCCCGAGAGATTTAAGGAAGGTCGTGGGGAGCATGGCACACTGCAGGGGGTGAGGGGCTCATGCAGAAGAGCCCTGTTCCTGATTGCTTTAGGGAAGGTGGGATTGTTTTCTCCCCGACGTCACTCTGACTACATCACAGATGATCGTTCAGTCCTTCCCTACAACCTGGCAGGCCTCGTGCTGGGCTCTGGGCATATGAAAATAAACACCACAGGCAAGATGCCTACTCTTGTGAGACACAGGTCTGAGTGAGGAGGCTGAGATGAAAGAGGACACAAACATACAAACAAGATCATCTCAGCTACTGACCAGAGCTGTGAATAAAGAAACGAAACAGAGCAGTGGCATCACGACTGGGAAGGCTGGCTACTCCACACTGGCATCCAGAAGATGTCTCTGGGCAGGTGACATTGCAGCTGGGCCTTTAACAAGAAGGCACCAGCCACGTGGAGGTCTGGGGAGGGAGTTCCTCAAAGAAATCAGCAGATGCAAAGGCCCTAAGGCTGGAATCAGCTGAGACTTCTAGGACTTTTATTAAAAGAATTTGGAGGACAGGGGGCTATTTTGTTAAGTAAACAAGACCCTTTCTTTCCCTAACTTGTCACCTTTCCCCACCCGCCTCCAAATCCTATTAATCCTAGATAATTCCCACTTAATTTAAACACCTCTTCTAAGAAGCCTTCGGATTCTACTAGTTCATGGTAGAACTAGTATAGAAACTGGTCTGCGGTAAAATAATAAAAATAAAAAAGGTCAATAAACTCTGTGTGTGTGTGTGTGTGTGTGTGTGTGTGTGTGTCAGTCACTATGCAGGTGCCAACTGTGTTTCCTTTCTTCCAAGACAGATATATTGTTACCACTTTTCAAAAAAATTTTACTGTTAATACTTTTGTAAAGTATGATGTAGATGACAGATATGTCACAAATGTAGCAGAAATCAAAAGCTGACCCTGCTCTGCAAATCCCGAATACTTTGGTCTGTGAAGTCCCAGACGCTGCGGGCACCTGTGAACTAGGCTCTGAAGCTCTATTACCCTCCCCTCCTTTACTCTCAGATGGCCCTAGATTTCCCATACCCTTTCCATTCTGGTACTGAGCCAGGCCCACAGCAAGCACTCAGAAGATGCTGACTGAACCAACGCATTGTGATTTATGATGAGATACACTCACCTGAGAGAATGCTGAAAATAAAATAAAAAAAAAAAGAATGCTTGTGCTTCTCCCACAAGCCTGTGAGCTGGTGCAGCAAACCGGTAAAGGCGGGCAGCAGTGGAAAGGAAACGAGCCTGTATGTCAGAGCCAGGAGCCGGGGTTCACATCGTGTCTCCTGCAAGAGGTGGGGTAGCCGGGTCAGAAGGCCCTGCCCACTCTCTAGCCGCCAGACTTGGGTGAAACCACTTTCTCTGAGCCTCGGCTTCCTTACCAGTTAAATGGGGATGGCAAAGCTTTGTCCCACGCTTCTTATAAAGAACAAACGAAATGTTTGCAGAAAAACACTGTGCAGGTAGTATGTAAGTGGCACGTCTTCAGTCTGATCTTCCAGCCCCTCCTGCATGGAGCATCCAGCCGATTCAGCAGATGACCTCTTTCCAGTTTCAGCGTCTGCTTCTCCCACAAGCCTGTGAGCTGGTGCAGGAAATTCTCCTACAGGTTCCGAACAGAAACGCATAGTGCCTGGCACCTAACGGGTGCTCCATAAATGAACAAATGACCCCAGGTAAGGCACTCCTCCTACCGGACCTATTTCCTCTAAGTACTCTCCCTTCCTTTTCCAGATCCATGATACTTATTTGCTTTTTTAGAACAGGTCTAGGAGTCACATTTAAGGAAGGCGGGTGGGTGTGAAGAGACTTTGATTAAAAGGTTAAGCACATTTTTGGTTTCCACTTTCGAATCTTCCAGAATTTAGTTTTGCCTACTTAATAAAAAAAAAAGAGCCATGTCACATTTCTTTAGCGTGTCTTCTGGGTTCCTTAACAACAACAACAAAACATTAAAATCTTTATTTTAAACCGCCTACTCCAGCCATCCCAGGACGCGGCGAGGAGGGGGCGCGGACAGGTGGCGCGCGTGCCCGGGAAGGCGGGGGCTGCACCGCGCCGCGGGCGGGGCCGTGCACGCCGAGCCCCACTTCCCCAGCCCCACTTCCCCATCGCGCGCCGGGGGCGGGGCGCGGCGGCGGAGGTCGGGGGCTTCTGCCGAGGGCAGTCCCACGTGCCCCTCCGAGGGAGGCGTCTCTTCTCCGATGCTCACCACACTGGTGGGCTCCCGCTTCCTCTCTGCCCTCTCACCTCGCAGCGGCTTCCGCCGCCCCCGCCTGGCTGCACTGCGCGCCCAGGGCCCTAGACCCCCGCCCCCCAGGCCCCAGCGCCGGCCTGTCCCCCGGCGCCCTCAGCCTGTGGCCCACAGCCCGCGCGCGCCCGCGGCTCCGCCGGAGGGAGGGGCAGGGGCGGGGCCCGGCCGGCGCTGATGTAATCCCGGCACCCGGGCGGAAGGATATGGAGCGCGCCCCTGGTTGGCGGGGCGCTGAGGCCAGTTGCCGGGTAACGGAGCGGAGCGGCTCCCGGCGCGCCGCCTCCCGCCCTCCGCCGAGTGGCGCTGGGGCCGCCGCCGCCGCTTTACGTAAGGCGCAGGCCAGGGCCGCCCGGCGCTCGGCAGCCGCCCGCAGCCCCTCGGAGCCAGAGGAGAGGCGCCCCCGCCGGCCGCCGCGCCGCCCGGCAGCCTCGGCAGGTACCGCGGGCAGGCGGCGGGGAGGGAGGGCGCGGGGCGGCCCCTCGGCTGGGTGGGCGCGGGCCTGGGCAGGCCGGCCTCTGGCCGCCGTGGAGCTCCCGGGCCAGCCTGCGGGAGGCCGGGCCGCCGCCGATGGCTTCGGGGCCAGCCTGAGGGAGACCGGACCGGCGCCGTGGGGCTCCGGGGCCAGACCGAGGGAGGCCGGGCGGCCGCCGGGGGCTCCGGGGCCAGCTTAAGGGAGGCCGGGCCGCCGCCGATGGCTCCGGGTCCAGCCTGAGGGAGACCGGGCCGCCGCCGGGGGCTCTGGAGCCAGACCGAGGGAGGCCCGGCCGCCGCTGATGGCTCCGGAGCCAGACGAGGAAGACCCGGCCGCCTCAGACCCTGGTGGTGCCCGGGCGTGCGGGTGAGCTGCGGGCCCTGGGACCCCCGCCCAGACCCCGGGACGCCGGGACCCCGGCTTGCGGCTCGTGCGCCCGGGTGGGCAGCGGACGATGAGTCCGCACAATGGGTTGCCGTCAGCAGCCTCCTGCCTGGGGCAGGTGTCGCCGCGCCGGGGAGGCTCTTTTGGGGGACGTGGGGCGGGGGCGCGGAGCCCCGAAAGCGGGCGCGGGAGGAAGGCTTCTACCGGCGGGAGGCGCCGGGCGTCCCCGGCAGCGGGGTCAGGCCGGCAGGCTGGGCCGCTCTCTCGCGTCCCCTCCGTTCCCCTCCCCTCCAGCATTGTCCTTTTGGGGCCCGGGGAAGGGAAAACCGCGGGGCGGGGGAGGAGAGCGGCCGGCGGGCGGGGCCGGGAGGCCGGCTGAGTGACGGACGCGCCGGCCTATGGCGCGGAGCGCGGCGCGAGGGGCGGGCCTGGAGGGCGGGGCCGGTGTGGCGCAAGGTTTGGCGAAGGTTACAGCTGGAGCTGGAAGTGACAGGCCCACAGTCACCCTCGCGCCGCCGGGCAGACCCCGGTGCATGGGGCGCCCCGAGATGCTGCAGAGCCTCTTCCTGCTCCTTTCCAAGAATACGCGTCTCCAGCAGGCATTTCTAGAGCTCCCTGCTTCTTCCCGCTGGAGAAACCATGTGTGTCTTGTTGGAAATGCTTCGTGTTGCCCTAGAATTCCATTTGCCTCTTGTGCGCAGATGACAGGAACTGCTGAGCTCTTGGTATAGACCCCTAAATCATGCAGAACTGTTTTGATTTCTTTTTTGCCACCTTTCTGTTTTTGTCCTCTATAGGAAAGCTATAAAGACTTAACCCAGTTGAAAACAAAGGTTTTGGAGAGGAGGCATGCGATTCTTGGAAAAATTTATATTAATGGAGTTCTTGCTCATTATTACCTGAGTTGGATACTTTGACTTATTGCCCAAGTTTCTAAGAAGGGGTTTTACATTTCTGGGTCTTGTTTTTAAAACTGTTAGAAAGCTCGTGAGGGGGTAGGGACAAGCAGTTTTGATAATAGGCGATGCTGTGGGTAAAACTGTATGGGAATCCCCAAGATAGATGCCTCCTGTGCAAAATAAGACCCATTCCAGAACACTTTGACCATTTCGTGGACTTCGAATTTAAAGGGGGGGGGCGGGGGAGTGGAATATATCATCCTGCGTTCTCAAGGTCATGTATTCTTCCATCAGTTATTTTGGATTGAACCATTTTTAAATAGGTCTCAGAGTCTCTCTGTCGTTTCCTTATGACAGAACCTGTTTCCAAGACTGTGCCTTTGCATACCTGTAGAAGCTCCTTTCAATTAATCCATCTTACAACTCAGATCCAATTGCTGTGCTTGCTAAATAATGAATTTTTAATCATTCAAAAGGTAGTTTACTGCTTCCATTTTGGGTATAATGGTTTTTATGTAAGCCCGTTACATGAGTGAAATGCCAGTTTTAAACACTGAAGGGAGGGGAGAATATTCTTACTTAATTCCATAGGAAGTAGAATTCAGAGTGCAGATGCTTTTTTGTTTGCTGTGGAGAAAAAATATAGGTCTTTGACATGACGTTAACATAAGTCAAATTTAACTGTTTTAAAGATAATTGGCTTGTTACACAAGTTGCAAACATTTAAGAAGATAGATCAATTTTTAACACTGCCAGTGGTAATACAGGGTAATGTAGCTAGCTCACCCTGTGCTTTATTGTATAGTAGCACTCTTCAAAAGAAATTTAATTTTTCTTTATTTTTCATTGTGTGGAAAAGTACTGAGCCTGGGCTTTGTCCCTGTTTTCATAGCCTTTGACTTGGCAGTTAATGGCTTGTTAGCTAGTTTCCTCATCTGTAAAATGGGAAGAATGATGACACCTGTTTCACAGAGTGTTTGGGATGATCATGTGAGGGACGATGTGCAATAATTTCATCAACACTCAAACCCTTTTAAAATACTCCACTAGTGTAATTGTTAAAACCTCATATTGCTTGCTTGGCTTAAAGCTTTTAGCTTTGTCTTCAGGCTCTTTCTTCCCCACCCCTTTTTATCCATACTTTGCCTGGCTGCCAGAGTCCTCTTTCCTGAACACAGATCTTACCAGCCTCTGGCTCAGCAAGCTTCTAAGACTGCCTGTGGTTTGGAGTTTAGAATTCAGAGATACCAGCATCACAATGCAGGCCCCTTGCAGTCTGGGCCCCAGTAATCTCTGTACTTTATCTTGTCTTCTTTGTCCCCTCTCCACACTGTCCATCTAAACAAGACTGCTCTTGGTTCTCTGAACATCCCAAGCTATTTCAGACCGTTTTTGCTTATATTCTTTGATTGGATTGTCCTGTCTCAGTCCCATTCCCTCCAGTTCTTAAAAGTTCATATGAAATATTCTGTTCCCTTTGGAGTACTTTGGAAGTCTTTTTAAGGTGAATTATTCCTTTCTGCAATCATAGTTCTCTACTTTTCCTTCATCATTATATCATATTGTATTATAAATTGTTCATAGTAAACTCTGACTGTGGTGTCTGTGTCATCATTTTGTCCCAATACCTTGCTCAGGCGTTTAAACATAAAGTGCTTCAATGTTGGTTAGATAAAGTCAAAGTCTGTAATCCACCTTCTAGAATATGTTAATGTTATAAAGTATATTTGTTTATTTTTTTCTGACCCTGGCTTTAAGTCTCCAAATAATTTTTTTTTTTTTTTTTTAAGACAGGGTCTTGCTCTGTCACCCAGGCTAGAGTGCAGTGGTGCTATCACAGCTACCTCCCAGGCTCAAGTGATCCTCCCACCTCAGCCTCCTCAGTAGCTGGGGCCACAGGCATGCACCACCATGCCCAGCTACTTAAAACAATTTGTTTTTTTTTTTTTTGGTAGAAACAGGGGTCTCCCCATGTTGCCCGGGCTGATCTTGAACTCCTGGGCTCAGGCAGTCCTTCCACCTCAGCTTCCCAAAGTGCTGGGTTTACAAGTGTGAGCCACCACACAAGACCCAGATGAAGTATTTTTAATAAACATCATTGCCAACCACAACATTAGAAATGCAATTTTACTATGTTGAATATAGTTACTATTTAGAATATTTCTTTACAGTTACTTTTGCCCTTTTACATGATCACATAGTAAGTGGTATTTTATACAAAGTAAAAACTGTCCTCTTTCCCATCTGTAGCTAAACTTTTAGGGTCTAATGAAATAGCTCCCGCACCTGCATTGCTTACTGTAAATCGTTGACCTGTTTTTTTGCGTAGAGGGAACCAGAGCACAAGTTTAAAAATATTCCTTATATTTGAAGTATAATTTAATTCCCGAGAGATTACATGATTTTTCTTTAAGAGTTTTCTTTTTTGGAGATTTATTATATGCATCAAAAGCAATTGTTTTTGAGGGGGCTTCTTAAAAGAATGATAGAACTGAATTTTGAAAGACTCAGGTTTGCTTCTTTTCCGTGGACAAGTTTGTTAAATCTCTCTTGGAAGTCAGTATTTGTCGACGGAGAACAATTACTCTTTTTGCTTTGTACTACATTTAAATTGGCTATACTTTGTATACTGCACATCCGGGCCCACATATAAGGTAATAAGATGTTTTGCTTTATAGCATTTTTGCCCTGCTCACTACCCAGCCTGGAAACCCTTAGAGACCTCCTTTGTTGACCAGATTTTTACCAGGTTTGCCTCCATGAGTCTTTTCCATCAGTCTTTTCCTCTTTTCTTTCATGTTTCCTTTGCCCCTCCTCTCCCTGAAGCTGTTACGCCTTATGAAGATAGTTGCTGTAGTCCTCCAACTGGCCTCTCTTTTCTGGTCTCTCGTCCTTCTCTGTTCTGTTGCTAGGATTATTTAATATGCAGATCAAATGCTATCATGACCCCTCTCCCAAGTATGCATCAGAGGTTCTCCACTGTCATATCCCTGTTCCATCACACCTGAGGGATATGACAGTTCTGTTGGTAAGATCATGGGCTTTCTCCTCTGAAGATTTTTACCTTGGAAGTGCTACCACCCTCCTCCCCTGGTTGAGAATTTGTGTTAAAGAGTTAGGAAATCACTCTAAGATCTTTGCTGTCTGGCCTAGTTCTTACTTTTAGCTTGATCTTTTACTGGATCTCTTCTTTTTTGTTTTTGTTTCTGTATTTTTGAGACAGGGCCTTGCTCTGTCACTCGGGCGGGAGTGCAGTGGTGTGGCCTCGGCTCACTGGAACTTCCACCTCCCCTCCTCCTCCTGCCTTGGCCTCCTAAGTCGCTAGGGCTACAGACATGTACCACCATGCCTGGGTAATGTTTGTATTTTTTGTAGAGATGGAGTTTTGCTATGTTGCCTAGACTGGCCTCAAACTCCTGGGCTCAAGCAATCTGTCCTGCTTGGCCTCCCAAAGTGTGGAGATTACAGGCATGAGCCACCTTGCCCAGCCTGCATCTCTTCTTGTCACCTTATATTTCAACACAAGACCTCTGGCCACTTCCATTATTGGCAGACGGCTTTGAAATATCCTTTCCACCTTTTTCTCCCTTTCAGAATCTTGGAGACTTATCTTAAGTGCTGCTACCTCTACTTCTGTAACCTGATTTTCAGAATTAAGTCTGCATTATTTTTCTCCCGCACAGTGCTAGCCTGATGTCTCCACTCATCTGTTTTTTCCTTATGACCTTTTAGTTTATATCCATGGAGAGCTTTCCTGGATTATAAGCTCCTTGAGAGAGATAGAGGAAAATCTTAATCATTGCTAATTTCCTCTAGTGTTTGATATAGTCTTTTACAAATAGTACTTGTTTGTTAAATGTTTGACTGAATTAGCTCAGAATATATAGTTTCTGATTTCAGGAGAAGGGAGATAGAGTTGGAATGACTTTGTATGAGAACATTGTATATCCACGTGACTCAAAACAGGGCCCAGCATATCGTAAGTGGTCAGTAAGTGGTAGCTTTTTAGCTGTTAAGTTGAACAGGTGGAGAGAACACTAGTGGTTAGGTAACTTGGTTGATTGTGTATGCTAGTTTATTTTGACAGTGTCCACATATTTATTTCTGGTGTGTGTGTAAAGGAAAAAAATCATCTCATTTTCTTTCTTTCTTTCTTTCTTTCTTTCTTTCTTTCTTTCTTTCTTTCTTTCTTTCTCTTTCTTTCTTTCTCTTTCTTTCTTTCTTTTTTTTTTTTTTTTAACAGAGTCTTACTCTGTTGCCCAGCCTGGAGTGCAGTGGCATGATCTCAGTTCACTGCAGCCTCTGTGAGTTCAAGCAATTCTCCTTCCTCAGCCACCCCAGTAGCTGGGATTGCAGACATGTACCACCATACTTGGCTAATTTTTTTTTTTTTTTTTTTTGAGACGGAGTTTCGCTCTTGTTACCCAGGCTGGAGTGCAATGGTGCGATCTCAGCTCACCGCGACCTCCGCCTCCTGGGTTCAGGCGATTCTCCTGCCTCAGCCTCCTGAGTAGCTAGGACTACAGGCACGTGCCACCATGCCCAGCTAATTTTTTTTGTATTTTTAGTAGAGACGGGGTTTCACCATGTTGACCAAGGATGGTCTCGATCTCTTGACCTCGTGATACACCGCCTC